GTTCGCCAAGCACCATTTGTGGACCGTGCCATATCAAGATGCCCACAGGTATCCTGCTGGTCTCTACGTCCCGCAGACATTCGAAGCGCCGGTGGACAGCATCGAGAATTGGGTGGGAGATGGAAAAGCGAGCATCCGAAACAAGGACATTGTCTCGTACGTGACTATCGGCACGACGCACGTACCTCGACCGGAAGATTTCCCCGTCATGCCTGCGCAATCTGTGCACGTCAAGCTGGAACCGATTGGCTTCTTTGCCAGGAACCCCGCGCTGGATGTCCCTGCTACCAACGATGCCAAGTCTACACCTGCTAGCGCTGCGAACAGCACGACTAACGGCGCTCCTGCTTGCTGCCGTTCTTGAGCTTTGCCCGGATCCTTCTCTAGTGCCTCGTGCACCGTGTAAATGTGTGCTTTTGAGGTTGTTCAGCTGCCATATCACGAATTGTCACGCTTTTTTTTGACTTGTAGCGAGACGAGTGTGAAGTGTGAATGAGTCTGATGAGTCACGAGTCGTGCGTGTTGGCTTTGGCCTCCGATCATCTTGAAGTTGGACGCGTCACGTGGCCAGCTTTGCTGGATTTTTGATTCTTCTTGTTTGATTCACACGACGCTCTTGGCTGCACTAATCACTTGGCCTACTCTTGACTGTACGCTTGCTGCTGCGTGCTGTCGAATAGCCTCTTTCAAAAGCGCGGCCATCTGCACGCTGCGCTGCAACTATACGCACAGCTAGCAGCAACAGCAACAGCAACGGCAACGGCTGCTTCTCCTTCGCGTCTTCCTGGCCTGCGATGCAGTGACCCCGCAAAACTTATTCGTAAGACTCACTACTAGCGGAGCTTGAATACATCGCGACGTACATTAGAGCTTTGCCTCGGCTCTGGACTTGTCATTTTCGAGCCTTGCCTTCAGCTCGAAAAAGCGGGGAAAGAGCAGTGTGAGTGCAGGCTTCCACGTCGTCGGTCGTAAAGAAGGGCTCCTACCATCACCCCTTACATTGCTCGCGCCTCTGACAGCTTTTCCTTCTTCCTTCCTTGCGCTCTTCCCCGACACGCCCAGTCATCTTCGGGTCATACACGGCACTGAGTCACAGGCTGCTTCCCTACATCGTTCGCGCACCCTACAGCTGGCCTGCTTTCAACATCTCACGCTCCTTACTCTACACGGCTACCCAGTCGGCTGGCGCAAGCATCACCGCACTGGAAGAGCTTTCGGTCTGGCTGACCTGCGCGCGCGCAGTCCTGCTAGCGCAATGAAGCTCACCCAACGTCGAGTCATCTTCCTCGGATGCGGCATCGCTCTGCGCTTGGGACTGCTGGCGTGGGGAGCATACCAAGACGCATATGGCGAAGTGCCATACACGGACATTGATCATTCCGTCTTTGTGCGGGGAGCGAGAAGCCTGTTCGACTCGTGTCCGCTAGAAAGCATCATTGCGGTAGAGCCTCAGGAGGATTACGAGGATTTGGCCGATCCGCCACAAGCGATTGGAAGGTGCGCCCAAGGATGGTTGCCAGCTGTCGCTCGATTCATCTTGCAAGCTCAAGCGGAATTCTTGGATCCAGAAATGAGCCCTTTTCCAGTCGATACGCTGCCGTATCGGATGCTGCAGCTATCCTTGTCGCTCTTCAGCTTGCCCTTTAGAAGCCTTGCCGGTCTTGGCAATCCTTACCAAGACGAGACATTCAGGTACACACCGCTGCTGGCAGTGCTCCTTGCACCCACTCAATTACTTCCGACAGCGCTGGCAGAGTATGGACCGAGGTTGTTGTTCGTCGTTGCGGATCTCTTGTGCGCAGTGCTCATGTG